ACATATAATATAATAACTTTCACATTTACCAAAATCAAGATTTCTAAATTACAATAATCAACATCAATTCTCAAAACCATTTCTCAATAAATTCATGTCTCACATAAGAAGTTTATAAATTCATAATTTCATAACTATCTTTCAATAATATGAAGTATCTCAAGGCAATTTCAATAATAATACATTTTATTGCTCAAATCATAGCCCAATGGCATTTCAAGAATCTCATGTAATTCGAAATCACTCACAAATATCATACAATCATATATAACAAGTGGAAAGTGGTTGCCTTTCACCAAGGCTATAAAAAGAATTATCACAAAGCCAACCCCATGCTCAAACCAATAATCCAATGGTTAATCTGCACAATTAATATAACCACATATTAATTAAGCTTACATATATTAGTTAAATTTCTAATTTAATTTAACTTAATTTTTCTTATAAATTTCCACAACTCTCATAACCCAAAATTAAGTATTTTAGAACTAACTTATAAATTTTCTAACAAGCCAAATTATTTATTTACATCCTCTAAATTTTATAATCTAATAAAAAGAATTCTCCAAAATTCTCAAATATGAAGTTATTATATTTTAAATTCTAAAAATCCTATTTCAAGTTTAAATCTCAAAACCCAACCATAAAAAATTTAATAGTACCTCAAATATTTATAAATAAATAATCTAATTAAAATATGATATATCTCATAAATAACATTTTTTAACTAAAAATTAATTTAAATACTAAAAACTAACAAATAGGCAAATCTAAACTGATTAAAATTAACAATTCATTTACCTCTAAATTTTTATGGTTATCTATTATTAAAATTCAAAACTTATCCCATATATAAGTCTCAAAAGTTTCTCTAATCACTATAATAATACTGCCATTAGGAAGCTTAAAATATATAAGAAATATTTATGAAAATAGTTTGATAAAAAGAAGTAATTTTGTGTACCTAAATTATCTCTCAAACTTGCCCTTCCTTCAAAAAAACCGTTGATATACTCGTTGCTCTCTCTCCTGCACTCTTTCTCTCTTGCGCCCTCATCTTCTGTCTCCTATTCCCTCTTTTATTTTTCATTTTCCAACCACCTCTCTCTCAATTTTCTTCTTGCATTGAAGCCTCCTCCCCAAATTTCTTCTTCTTTAATGCTCCTTCCTTTTCCACTGAATTGAGTGGAAAAGGTGATTCTTTCTTTTGTTTTTTAATATATTAAAGTATTATTATTTTATTATAATAATAAAATATTATTATTTTATAGTTTTTTTCTTTTTTTTCATAAATCGTAAAATAAAATTTAGGATATTACACGGCAGTCCTCTGAGTCACGATGGATAGCTGTCAATACTTAAGTATCTTAAAGGAACTTTATCATCTGGTCTTATTCTTCATAGGCCTCAACACTTGCGTCTTGTAGCCTTTTCAGATGCAGATTAGGCTACAGATCTTAATGATGGATGCTCTATCTCTCTGGCAACTGTGTTTACTTTGGTTGAAGTATTATTTCCTAGATTGCAAAGAAGCACCATACTATTGCAAGGTGTTCCACAGAAGTTGAATTTCAAAATCTTGCTTCAGTAGTTTCAGAAGTCCCTTGGATTCAATCATTACTTACAGAACTAATCATCGCTTCTCCTCGTGAATCACCCTAGATTTTTTGTGATGATCTTAGCACAGTTCACCTTGCTTACAATCTTGATTTGCATCGTCAAATGGAGCACATAGAGCTGGACTTATTCTTTGTTCGAGAAAAGGTCCCTTGCAAAGAGCTCTATGTGCTTCATTATTCTTACAAAGCCTCTCTCTGGTTCTGCCTTAGCTTATTGTCGTGTAAAACTTAGTGTTCAATACTTTTCTGTCTCCCCACATTAAGTTTAGGAGAGGATATTAGAGATACACACCCATGTCATGTAAACCCCGTGCAAGTTGTTCATAGTGTTAGCTATAACTAGCTATAGTTAGTTGTATTTTGGTTTAGTCCGGTACATTTCCCTATGTAAACTTATAAATAGATAGTGTACAGTATACATATGTAAGCTCTTAAAATAATCAATGCAATGAGTAAATCATTTTCTCTTTCTTCCCTTCGCCTCTCTCACTTTATCTCCTTCTTTCCTTCCTCTTGTACACTAATAAACACCCATGAGGCACTTAAGGAAATAAAATAATCCTTCTTACCCTCATTAAAAGCATCACCCACATCCTTCTCCCCATTTATATTCAGCAGCGGTGTGAGGAAGTAAGGAGCCGAAGAGGAAGAAGGAGATATTTTCTCTCGCGTGCAAACAAAGTTTAGAACTTCTGATCCATATAAGTTTTTCCTCTAGTTGCTGTGTGTTCGTAAGATGATGATTGTAACATCCTGACTTTTGGACCTAGAAGTATTAGAATTAGCCTGAAATAGGTAGGCTACAGATCTTTTTTGGTAGAAGTTTTAGAGGTTCCCTAGAAGGACATAGGGATTATTAGGGATTAAATCAAAAAGAAAAACTTTTCTGAGACTGAAAAAAGAGAAAGATAGAGACTCCAATTAAGTCTTGAGGCCCAATAATAAGAAATAGAGATGAATGTAGGCCAAAGGTTATGCTAGAGGCCTTAATGATGTGAATTATGGGGTTAAGCCAAACCAAAAGTAAAATCATAATTTTGCAAAGTTTTAGGCTGAAAAGGACAGTGATAATGGAAAGTAGGCCTAAATACTTTAGAAAAAAATTTTTAAAAAAAGAATGAGGTCTAGAGGGTGGTATGAGGCTAAAAATGATGACAATACCCCTGGAAGGAATTTGTGGAATTCCAAGATTTTGGCTAATTTTGAATATTACCAAAAATTGAATTATTTAAAATACAGGGAGGCCTCAGATATTTGGACAAAAATGGGAGAAAATACTGGAGAAATTATCACAAGTTCTAAAATAATTTTGTCCCCAGAAAGCGAAGAGGTTGGCTTTAATAGAATTTAAAACATATTTATATACTATCCGGGAAAAGTCAAAATAAACTATCTAGAGGTTGACTTTTGACTCAAAAAAAATTAGAAAAGTTCCCGTGATGAATATTTTATTGGTACCTAGAGACAAATTCTCAGAGTCGTGGACTGGTAGAAAGAATTCGGTCAAGTTTTCTTCTAAGTAAATATTATTAATTATTTTAATGGAAGAACAAGGGAAGAGCATTACTTCCCCTTTAGACATGTTATATAATGCCATGTGGACTTATTTGAGAGACAAAATGGTGCCAAAACATGTCTCAGTAGTTCCGGGTAAGTTAGGGCTGAAAAAGTACCCGATACAATACAAAATAGTAAGATAGGTGGAGGAATGCTTAGGGGCTATATTTTGCACGAATTTTGCATTAATTTCCTCCCTATTTTAATGTCATAATAATGAGGGGACATGCAAGAGACACGTGTACGATTAGATTAAAAACACATGGCTTGATGATGTAAGCATGAAGTAAGCAAGATGAGGTAAGCATGATGTTATGAAGACACATGTCACAACAAGACAGAGAGGGAAAATGAATGGCCAAGATTTAATCTTGCAATTTCAAAATCAATGGCTAGAATTTGTTCATAAATTCTATAAATGCCCCTCCCCTCCCCTCATTTTTATCCTAAGCCTATGAAAACTATAAGGAAACTCTTGTAAAATGAATTCTAGAGAGAGAAAGAGGAAAGAAAAGAGAAAGACCAAGTGATCCCATGCAAGATCAAGCTCTAAAACAAGGTATGTTCATGGTTTTTGATGTAGTTTTCACTATCCTTGTTATTGTTGAGCTTGGTTATAGGGTTCAATGGCTTTTGGGAGCTTGAAACCTTGGGGGGTATGTTGCATGAAATTCCTAGGTGTAAGGGAAGATGAAATTGATGTTAGAATAATGTTTAAAAGCTTGAAAGAAACACGAATCAAGTAGTTTCATGTTGAAATTGGTTAAATTTCATGATTATGTAACTTAAGTAAGATTTCAGCCGGAGCTGGTTCTTGGGGCTAACATTGGATTTTGATTATTCCAATGTGTTTAAAATAAAAAATTGTGTGGGGTAAATGTGAGAAAACAAGTTTGGAAACGTTAGAATTGAAAATGGAAATCTTGGACCCTATGTGCATATTGTTTGGCCAACTGGAATTCAAATGAAATGAGTTAGATTTTGATAAATCGAATCCCATATTTGGATTCCTCATAAAAAATTGAGTAGGAAATATCAAAGAGAATGATTTTAAAGGCTATGAAAAAGAAAGTGAAATTTAAGGCTAAAGAGGAACAAGTTTAAGAGTTAAGATGGTTAATGGTTTTTCATGGTCTTAATAGATTGGATAGTAATGTGTATTGTGAATTTAGGACCATGAGACACAAAAAAAGAGAAATGACAAAGTTGTTCAAGCAATCTTGATGGTTGGGAAGTAAATAGAGTAAAAAGAAAGCTTAAGGATAAATGATACTGAACTTACCCTTCTTGCACTAGTACAAAATACCAATATAACTACTATTTTTTGTGTATAAGAAACAAAAGTTGTATGTTATGTAAATACTTTTCGCTTCTGGTCTGCTTCGACCTAACGCCATAAGGGTACTTATGGCTTCTGTTCAATTTTAAACAAAAGCCATAAGTATTCAAAATAATTTTATTTTGTTTTTGATATAATATAATAGCATTATGGAATAAACGACACAATATTACTTTACTTATATTTTTATTTAATTCATGCCGTTAAAAACTTTAAATTTTTTTTAATTTAAAAAATTTGGTTTTGATTGGTCTTTTAATTTTTTTTTTCCACAAAGGGAAAATTTTTATGAGAAATTTGCTTTTATAACTTATTAATTAAAAGCTTGATTTTTTTTAAAATTAAAAAAGATCAACTTACAGCATCTGGTCCATAATGGACCAGCTACCGTAGCATAGCCATAGCTACAGTGTCAGGCCCAAGTTGGGCCTGTCGCAATAGGTATTGAATTTTTCACCATAAGTCTCTTAATTAACAATTTAACATTTTAGCACCAGGCATGCCCTAGCTCTATCCCCTTCTCGCTACCGTGCTCCGTTGTCCATTCTTCTTGTTCGAAGTTCATGGATGGTCTCTATTGGTTGTCTCTGGAATCATCTTCCCTCATTCTCACCTTCCTCTTGTTCTGTCTTCTAGTTGGTTCCTGTGTCTCACCGGAATCTTTTTCCGTCAGTCTCGCCTTCCTCTTATTCTATCTTGGAGCTAATTCGTGGGTTTCCATTGGGTCTCACTGGAATTCTCTTCCCTCAGTCCCTCCTCCCTCTTGCCTTCGTATTGTTCCATTTTCAAGCTGGTCCATGGGTCTCTGATGGGTCACCCCTTCTTCTTTGTTCTACTCTCTTCCCTATCAACAGCAATTGGTTTCAAGCTTTGGGCCTGTAAGTTTTTTGCTTTTGCTAATCATTTTGGATTCTTGTTGTAACTTAAAATAGTTTATCAGTTGAGGAATATAGATTGTTCTATTGAAATTTGTTTCTTATTTTTGTTAAAATCTTGTGTTGAAGTGTGGCAAGTCACTGCCATATTTTTTGCCTCTAGTACCAATTAATTTAACAAATAACAATTTTTCAAATGAAATTATTTAAGGAAATGGAAACATGATGCAAAAATGGAGTTGCTGCAATGAAAAAATATGTATGTAACTATTGTTGTTGTTCGAATGGATGACAAGGAAAGTTGTGTGGGTGAGGTTTGAATCTAGAAGTTTCATATTTAAAGTTGAAAAGAGCAATATATTATAATTGAATTAATGATTAATTATATTAGAGCATCAAACTAAAGTGATGAAGACTAATGTATATGTGGGTGCATTGATAAACCTGCAATGAATTAAGAAAGCCACTGATCAAGATGAGTGCCTATGAATCATGGTAACTCTGTCCTTCCTCTCAATGACCATTTAGATTTTAGAGAATGAAATGACAACAAAATCACATGCTATTAATTTTTTTTAATTAAATTATTGATGATGATGATGATGATATGTGATTTTATTGACTATTTCTTCTTATTAAGTTTCCTTCCTTGACTTGAAGCCTATCAAGTTGAGCATTGAGGAGCAACCTTGGTGGCTGTGACACATTATGTTTCTTCTTATTAGGTTTCTTTCCTTGACTTAAAGCATGTATTTTATTAACTGTTTCTTCTTATTAAATTTCCTTCCTTCACTTGTAGATCCGATTGTAAATATTCTCTTTTGCTTATGTGATCTCCTGGAAATCATTGTAGGCTGGTAATTTCTGTTTGATTATGTAAATATGTTGCTTAAGTTAGATTTTCCCTTTCATATTTGATTTTGTTATCGGTTAGGTTAAATTAATACTTGGCTTCTTATGATAAATCTATTTGATTCCTTTCAAGAGTTAATATGCATATTATCTATCTGATATACTGGGATAGTCAATCATTGCAACCTAAGAATTACCATACTACTTTGTACCAGTCGACAGCAACTCTTGATTCGATATTACATTGAATATTGCTAGTTCTTGAAGTATCACATAACAGTATTCAAGCTAGCTTCTAATCTTATCATTAATTAATGATCTTTGGAATAAAAACGAGAGCTTATTCTCATTATTCTAATAGTTAGCTTCAAATCTTATCATTAATTAATGATCTCTGGAAGAAAAACCGGAAGCCTATTCTCATTATTCTAATGGTTTATTATTTTCCTTTTCTATGATGTTGAAGGATCTACTATTGTAAAACTTGAGAAATCTGCTGGGCAAGCTGAGAAGTCTTTGAAAAGGAGGAGGAAGAATCAATACAGGGGAATCTGCCAATGTCCATATGGTAAGCATTAAATAAAGGTTGGTTTTAGGCTTTACTTGTTTTGTTAGAGGAAATTTACTAGAATTTGCTTTCTAGTTGAGAGCTCTACAAATACCTGAAGGATCAAACAATTTATCGTTGTCGATACTATTGATACCATGTCAACTTTATATCTAATACTTGGTGTTTTTCCTCCCTTTTTAGTAACAATTAAGAAAAGCTTCATTGTTAAAAGATGATGCATTTGCCTTTCTGAAAGGTGACAACTGTGATGATTTTGTGACATTTTGTAGTTTCTCTGATGCACTTTGTCAGGTACTTAATTATCTTTTGATAAATGAATATCTAATATTCTTCAAGTCAAAAAAGAACAAAAATGTGGTATGCAAATATTCCAATGCGATATTGCAAGGGAAGTTGATTGGTGTGCCTCGTGGATTATGCTTCTAAGGGTTAAAGGATCTCTAGGTTGAAGCAGTGCTCTTCCCCCATGAAGTGAAGAAAAGATTGTAGCCAAATGACTATTCTCTTCAGTATATGGTGTTTTGTTAACTATTTATTTGGTTTATTTGGTTTAACTGTACGTATATGCTATGCACTTGTTTGTATTTAATATTACATAAAGCTGGTTGTATATAATAGCAGCTTCTTGAGTGGGAGGTTAATATTTTTTTTTTTTTGAAAAAAAAGGCCACCTACAGCTTCTGTTATAAATATAACAGAAGCCATAAGTGGGTACCTATGGCTTCAGTTGCTTTTAGAACAGTCATCATAAGTGCTAAAACATACGGCTTCTGTTCTTTCATAACAGAAGCCGTAGCTGATACCTTTCGCTACTATTGTTTCCACTACAGTGTATATACAGTAGCGAAAAGCTATTTTTAACAAAAGTCAACTGTGTTATTTTGTACTAGTATTGTGTGCTTAATATGCATGCTTGTGTGTTGATGTGTATTATGTTGTTTGAAATGATATGAGATGTAAGTGCTAGTAAGATGCTCTGTTTCTTTGATGTTTTCATGGCCATGCATGTTATGTGAAACTTTGAGCATGAGAATATGTTATAAGTAAGCATGAGCTAGGTTAAGTAAGCATGTCATACACTTATATCCATCTTACATGCATTGATGGTAATGTTTGCTACTGAGATTCTCCCAAATCTCACCCTCTCTTAACCAACCATAATAGGTGTAAAGAGCATGGGAGAAGAAATCAAGAAGTGAAGCAAGGAAGAGAGGAAAAGAATTTAAGAAATGTATTACATTACATTGTATAATTTGTATGTTAATATATGACATAAACATGCCACTAATGTTATGTGATGATAAATAATGATGATGGTATGTATAATTGACTATGATAATGTATGAGAATAGTTTATGGATTAATGGAATGAGATTATGCGTGGAAAAAATTAATTATGAATTGTTAATACAAGTTAGGAGAATAAATCATCCCTAAAGGAGCCACAAAATGGTGGTAGCTAGAGTGGAAAGAAAGTAAATGATCAATTCTGCCAATGAAACTTATTATGATTAAAGCACACATCTTTAGATTTAAAACAAGTGGTAGATTACTTAAAATAGATGTGTGTGCTAAAAGTTATGCTTGATCAAAATTAGGGCAGAGAAACTAGAAAGTATAGTTTTAACCAAATAAACAGTAAACTTCAACAAATAAACTGTATGAATTGGAAAGGGTTGGGTCCATTTTTATATTTTTCTCTTGTAGAGAATCCAAAGAGCTTCAAATAGAATTTTGAACTACCTTAATATGGTTTTTTATAATTAGTTATTATTTTTCAAAGTTGGACTGAAAATCTGGAAGCTAAACAGTAAACAGTAACCCGAGTACTCAAATACAAATTTTCAATCCATGGGTTTGTTTTGTGATCTACTTGAACCGTAATGCTTCCGAATGCATACTTAAGAGGGTTTAAGGAAGGATGTTTCAATGATGATGACTTAAAAGTCTGATTTTCAAGAGAGAGAAGGAGCAACATAGTGAATTACAAGTGTGTGCGCCAATGTGTGTAATAGGTTTAAATAAAAATGAAGATTTGTTGAATGTGAATTGTGAAAATTTGATCATATTAATTTTGGATCCTTTAAAGTAACTTTGACATCCCATATTAGCTTTAGAGTACTACAAAAAAAACATCAAATTAGTGACGGAATTTAATGACAAAATTTCCCTCACTAATCAAAATTAGCTACGGATTAGTGATGGATTAATGACAGAATTTAGTTAGCAACAAAAATTTTTTGTCACTAATTCCACCGTCACTAACGAAATTCAAAATTCTGTCACTAATTAGCAATGAAAATTAGTGACAAAAATTTTCCATCACTAATCCATCACCAATCCCCAATTTTTTTGTGGTGGATTACTTTTAGAATGGCATTTTTAGTAGATCGAGTTACACACATACATGTGCACGCATACTTATCAATATGATGACTTTTTTTTTTTGGTGGGAAAAATAAAGTCACATCTTTATTTCAAGCTTCACATAGATAAGCACAAACACTATATAAACGACGTATAACCATGGTTCATCAATGGACAAGGCAAAGAACCACTATGTGGGAAGAGAAAGACACTTTAAAAAAAAAAAAAGATGGTAAAAAAAATTGCTATTCTTATGATGTGATTTGGAGTTGATGAACGAAGTAATTAAGCATCAAGCAATGTATTCGAACAAAGGGTGGTCCTGATGTAATCTTATTTGTTTGATTTGACTGATCTTCTCCAAATCATTTTGTGTAAGTGACCAATCAAATATCTCTAAGTTCTGTTTCATTCTCTCTTTGTTGTAACTCTTTGCAATAAAACCCACTCCTTGCTCATGCAGCCATCTCAGAGCAACCTATATTATATCACACCAAAAGAATTGCATTTAATGGAAATAGTATAATTAAACAGTTCATTACTAATAATAAGATCAGCATCATGAAGAAAGTAAAAGCCTCAAGCAAAATTTAAAAGGGAACTTGAAATTAAAATTAAAACCTGAGCAACTGTTTTGCCATGAGATTTAGCGATTTCAACGAGTATTTCATTGCCCAGAATGCGATTGTCACCCCGTCTTGTACCTACAGCCCCAAGAGGAGAAAATGCAGCTATAAGTATATCCTTTTCTTTGCAGTATTCTCTTAGCTCCTTTTGTTGACATGTAGGATTCATTTCCACCTGTATGATAAAAAATAAAAAATATATATTAATTAAACTTCTCTATAAACATTTCCTTTTGGGAAAATTATATTCAAAATTGGGATTATGGGCTCATTGACAAATATATTTGGACAAAGGACTTGGACTTCAAAAGATGACAGAAAAGATGCGGAAAAACACAGAAGAAAATATAAGCAAAACATGAAAGATTGCCTGCAATTTGAAGGTCAAAAGTCAAACCTGTGGTGGAGCTAGTGGGGGGTTTAATTTTTCCTGAATATTATAAAGGTATTTTACATTTTAGTGCCCCTAAGAAGTAAGAAAGATATTTTAACTTCTCTTCAACATTTTCTTTTGACTTGTTAAAGTCAAAAGTCAAACCATGTGCCATTTTAAGAGTCACCACAAACGATATCATGAAAGATTACCGGAAAACTTGTACCCATCAAGTTCTAAAGATTGAAATTCTTACTTGATTGAGGCAAGGAGGAATTGACGCCACTGACAATAAACTCTGAAGTGTCCTCACAGGGAAGTTACTGACTCCAATTGATTTTGTGAGACCAAGTCTTTTACACTCTTCCATTGCTTCCCACACGCCCTTTATATCTAATTCTGCTATGTTATCTTCAGTTGGGAAATAACTGTTACTTTCAGGCTTTGAACTGATGGGCATGTGGATCAAGTACAGATCCAGATATTCCAGTTTCAGTAACCTGCATATACACACATCCCACATGTTTAAGTAAAAAACATTCAGTTAATACCATTGTTAGTTCTTATACTTTAATCAAATTTTGGTTTTAATCCTATAGTTTCATAAAAATTTGGCTTGAGTTTAACTGCTGGTGCCCATACTAACGAGTTTAGTTTTTTATTCTTATACTTAAACTTAGACGGAGTCCTTTTCAAATTAGAGGAAGCAAAACAAACTATTTGAAACTACAGGGGGCGAAGACCTAAATTGGATTAAACTGTAAGGACGAATAATAATATTAATCAAAAAACATTTAAGAGCCTATTAAAACAGCAAACAGTTTGAGCTCACCCAAGAGATTTTTGAAGAGCAGAAACAACACGATCAGGTTGGGCATCAGTGAACCACAGCTTGGAAGTGATGAAGAGTTCATCTCTTGACCCAATAAGGCCAAGTTTGAGAGCTTCTTCTATGGCTTCCCCTAGTGGCTGTTCTGTCCCATAAAGTGAAGCAGTGTCAAAGTGTCTATAACCTACTTTGATAGCCTCTATGACCGCCGTCTTGGTGATCTCGCCGGGACTTTGAAACAAGAAGGTGCCCATGCCAATCGCCGGCATATGGTGGTTGTCGGAGAGAACCAATGTTGGGATGTTGTTGTTGGACATGTTGTACTTTGACTTGAACTGGGAGTTTTGATTGATCAAGCTTGAGAAATATTGTCATTAAGGAATGCGCTTATATAGAATGTGAACAATGCTCATAGAACTTGGTGGGCAAGGCAAGCAACGTTATTCTACTGGTTGATTCATTTTAATAATGGTATTATTGACCAGTAGTGACGGCTTGAGTCTTATTCGTGAGCTTGGTCAGAACATCTTTTTTCCTAAATAAACCAATGAAGAGATATCATATTAATTAGCAGTATCTTAATTTGTACCTGAGGGAAACTGTATCCTTTTGTTTATTTTTCTGATTAGAAAAGGAAAAAAGTATTACAAAAAGACAAATTTCTATCGTTAATGCTGGTTTAACTCCCGGCCCCCATGCCTTGATAAGCTAAATATTTTTTTATGTAGTATCTTGATATCAAATATTACCAAGTCAAGTTTAAGTTTACTAGGACCCTACAAACGTCAATTTCTGTTTTTCCTTCCCCGCCCCCTGGTTATGCAGTGCTAAAAGTGGATCTCGCTTTAGGCCTCCCATGTCCTTGATATAGAGACCAAATATATATATGTATTATCTTCAGTCCTAATTGTAAGACCTCATATATAGATTATAAACGAGATCTTATAACTAGGATTAGAGGTAGCATATAGTATTGAGATCTAACATTGCCGAGCCAAATTTGAGTTTCATTTGACACCAAACCTTTCCACTTCTCTGATCATCCGCTTGCCCCTGCTTCTTCATGTACACCATTATAGTTAAGATTTAACATATTGTAAAAAGTTAAAAATATATTTGAAAAAATATTTTAATAAAAATACAAAGAGGTGATGAACTATTTAGATAAAATTTTATTAATTTAAATTTATCTATATACATGATTTGTCCGTTGATATAGAAATTGAATTTTTTTATATGATATTACATCTCAACTATTCAAAGTTGATATAAAGGTGAGAATAGAAAAGTTGACAGAAGTGTACCACAAAAGAAATGGAGATGTTCCCTTCCCCCAGGGACTGAATGTCATTTTCTGTTGGCAAAATTGCAAAAAAACAAAAAAATTTAAATAGAAAAATTATAAATAGGGACCCATGACAATATTAGTATGAGTTTTGACAACAATAATATGGGTTTTAATAATAATTTTTGTGAATGGGTCATTGTGTGTAATTTTTCTATTTTGGTGGTCTTTTTTGCGATTTTTTCTTTTTTCTTTTTTTGTTTTTAATGGAGTTCTAGAAGTGGATCTTGCTTTCGGCCACCATGTGAGATTTTTTTATAGGATTAGGTCTAATTTTACCCTTGATCTTATTTTTAAGGTATATCTAGTACTTTAATCTTTTTAGTGGTACAATTTTAGCCATAATTTTTTTAGTATAATTCCACTACTCAAAATTGCATTATTAAAAAATCAGAGTACTTTTTTGTGAATTAAGCATGGTTTCTAGAGCCAGATTGGATAGAACTGTAAATTAAATATAGCATATGAGTAAAATTGCACCCAGAAAAAAAATCATGGTAAAATTTAACTACACCACTAAAATTGCCAATTGTTTTTTTGAATTTCTTAACTCCTCTTTACTTAATTTTTTTACAAGAACGTATGAGTAATTTTCCCTTCTTACTAGTCCAGTAGCCCATTTTGATATGTAAACCAAATACGGCTCTTTTAAAAACAAAAAAAACAAAAAATCTGACGATGTTGTGGAATGCTGACTGATTTCTTGAAATCGAAACTATAAAAGAACATGTACAAATAAAACATAGTTTCGATACATGAACAAACCAATAACTTATGTAATTCGCGCAACTTGCGTTGTATGTATGACAAAAGAAAGACTCTCCCGGTCTTTAATATAAGATCCGTTTAACTAATTTGATTAGATTAAAAAAGTTAGGTAAGTTAGTTAATTATAAGAAAAGTGACACATTTTTTCTAAAACACCATAATCATCTTTCTTAATACCCCCTCTCTTTTTTCTACTTGATTATGGTTGAGAGAGTATTCATAGGAATAATTTAGAGAAAATTGATAAATATGAGAAATAAGTCTTATATTTAGAAACAAAACCAACTCAAGAATTAGGTCATATATTAAGGATCGGAGGAGTACTAATTAAATACAGTAAAAATGTTTATGTGGCCGGTAAATGTGGGGTAATATAAAAGATAGAGACGTAGGATTAAAATCCTCCTTATTATATATTTTGCAAACATTTATAATTTATAAACATAATATTACCTTCAGTTTTTAGCATAAGAACTAGATAATTAATTTAGAAAAATTAAACAAATTAGTTAGGTTGGTTAATTATAACAAATGTGTGTTAACTTCCCAAAATTACTTTTTTTAATCATATATATTGGAGCTAACTCCCATCATTAATAGGAATATTTTGGAGAAAACATTATCAATTTAAGAAACAAAGTAAATTGATGCCTCATATTTAGGACCAAATTCAAGCTCTAATTAACTCTTATATTAAGGACAAGAGGTATTTATCCAGTCCGTAATGTAGAACATAATTGGAGAGTTGACCTATTTCACATGTTTATCAATTTTTTTTCCAAATTAACCCTATTGATATTCTTCCAACAATAACAATCAAGTATAAGAGGGAAGAAATTAAAGAAGATGCTTAGAGTGTTTTATAAAAAAAAAAATATCATATTAACTAATTTAACTAATATTATTGATTTATACAAATTAATTAATTAGATATTACATTAAAGACTAGAAAAGCAATAACCTTTTTTATTGGTAAGAATAATAAAATCACATCATTATTCCTTCATAGAATCACAAAACAAGTGTACCGAAACGTTGCAGCACTCGCAACTGTACAAAATCACATCTTTATTTGAAGCTCACAATAAATATAGGTACGAACACTATTTATGGGCAACGTACAACAATGGTCTATAACCACTTTATGGCAAGATTAAGACATAAAACAGAAACAAAATGTTAAAACGAAATGGCTCTTATGATGTGACTTGGAGTTTAAGAATGATGTAAGCATCAAGCAATATATTCGAACAAAGGGTTCTCTTGATTAAATCTCATCTGTTTGATTTGATTGATCTTCTCCAAGTCATTTTGTGTAAGTGACCAATCAAATATGTCTAAGTTCTGTTTCATTCTCTCTTTGGTGAAACTCTTGGCAATAAAACCAACTCCTTGCTCATACAACCATCTCAGGGCAACCTATATTACGCCAAAATAGTTGCACTTAATTAATTGAAATAATATTATGAATCACTTCATCACTAAGAATTAAGATATATATTAATTAAAAGGTTAATGCTATTTTTAGTTCCTAAAATTTGATGCTTAAAGATTTTTGGTTCCTGAAGTAGCATTTTTGGTCCGTGAAATAAGATTTTAGAAACCAAAAATACTGGTTTTAAATTGAGGAACCAAAATCAAAATAAAATAAACATTTTATGAACTAAAAATGATATTGACTTTTAACCAAATTAACCAGAACTAGCATCATGAACAGGGTGAACACTTCAAAATTTTAAAAGGAACTTGAAATTAGAATTAAAACCTGCGGAACTGTTTTGCCATGAGATTTACCAATCCCAATGAGTACTTCATTGTCCAGGATCCGATTATTGCCCCATGCTGAACCTGGAGCCCCCAGAGGAGAATATGCTGTTATAGGTATACCCTTGCCTTTGCAATATTCTCTTAGCTCCTTTTGTTGACATGTAGGGTTCATTTCTACCTGTATCAAAGAAAAACATTTTAACTTCTCTTGAACATTTGCTTTTGGAAAAACTGGGATATTAATGGCCAATATTTGGGAAAGATTATTAGCTGCATTTATTTTTGCCCAGTAGATCCTTTCTCGAAACATGTCATTAGGTCCTTAATCCCAATTTTACCTTGCTTTTTCATTAAAGGTCAAAAATCAAGCCCACTCACGGAGCTAGTGGGGGCTTTTTAATTAATTCCTCAATATTATAAAGGTATTATACATTTCAGTGCCCTATAAGTCTATGCAATTTTAACATTAGGTAGAAAAACATGCTCAGTGATTACTGTTGATATTGGAGAAGTCAACACAAATGGAAATTTGTCAGTCAAAGGATAAATAACAAATAGACTTTCAAAATCTGCAAATTTTGACATAACCAACTGTACGAGACAAATTTTAAAAGTTCGAATTTTTGGGTACACCAATCTCATAATATTTCAATCCAAATATCAATTGATTTTTTTTTTGTCAAGAAAATCTAGCTAAAGAGTAAAATTTCTCAACAAGATTGCAAATGTCCCCATCTTAATCCCAATTTTCCAAATTAAAGATTGAAGATCTTACTTGATTGAGACAAGGAGGAATTGTAGCCACTGACAATAAACTCTCAAGTGTCCTCACAGGGAAGTTACTAACTCCACTTGATTTTGTGAGACCAAGTTTTTTGCACTCTTCCATTGCTCCCCACACTCCCTTTATGTCTAATTCTGCTATGTTCTCTTTAGATGGGAACAAACTGTTGCTCTCAGGCTTTGCACTGACGGGCATGTGGATCAAGTAAAGGTCTAGATATTCCAGCATTAGCAACCTGCATATACAGACACACACTTCACATTGTTTGTGGATAATTGCAAGTAAAAATCTCTGGGTTAGTACCATTGTTAATCCTTATGGTGTATTGAATTTTGGTTTTGGTCAATGTAGCTTGAAATCATTGGTTTTGGTCCCTATAGTTTCATAAAGATTTTGCCCAAGTTTAAAGATTGGTCCCTATATTTTTAACAGTCTTTCGTTTTGCTGATCTCTATATTTAAACTCAAACCAAATCCTTATGAAATTATAGGGACCAAAGTCAACTATTTAAAACTATAGAGACCAAAACAAAAATTAGATCTAACTGCAAGGACTAATGATGATGTTAACCTAAAAACTTTTGAGAACCTAATTAAAAAGCCAACAGTTTGAGCTCACCCAAGAGATTTTTGAAGAGCAGGAAGAACACGATCAGGATGAGCATCAGTGAGCCACAGCTTGGAAGTGATGAAGAGTTCGTCTCTTGACCCAAGAAGGCCAAGTTTGAGAGCTTCTTCTATGGCTTCACCTATTGGCTGTTCTGTCCCATAAAGTGAAGCAGTATCAAAGTGTCTGTAACCTACTTTGATAGCCTCTATGATTGCCGTCTTCACGACACCGCCGGGAATTTCGAATGCGCCGGAACCTAGGCCGATCACCGGCATACGGTCGTTGCCGGAGAGAACAAATCTCGGGATGTTGTGGGCGGGCATGTTGTTCAGTGACTTCTCAAAGGTAATTGAGGATAACTGTATTGATATTCAGGCTTTAGAATTTGATTGTGCTTACAAAGGATTGGCTATTGAGTCGTATTGATTTGACTAATGATCCTGAAACATTAATTGGATTTTAACTAATCGGATAAACTAATGTCTGATTACACAGGGGGGGAAAAAAAAAAAGAACTAATGTTTGGTGAGGAAGACAAGCAACCTTATTCTACTGGATTATTAAATAGAATAAATACAATACCCGGCAACCACGACGAATGATATTCATGTGTTTTGGTCAAAAGTCTTTTTTTGCCGCCATCGTGTTTTCGTCAAAAGTCAAACATTATAAACAAATGCGCACAAGTCACTTTAGCTCCTTTATTAAACACATATTACCGTTGACTTGGATGCTCTACATCTAATTCATTAACTAGGGCGATTCCATTAATTATTACGTTTTCAAATTTATAGTTTAATTAATTAACTCAGGCGATACAGCACCAAGTCTGCAACAAAAATCCCCTTCAATTATCTTTCAGAATCTGTATAACAGATCGGCTTTGCTAATTCTACTTAAACAAAATTACTGAGGCAAAGGGATTGCTCATGGAAAATTAATGCCTAGATTTAATTTGACAAATCCCTCTCCCCATGGTCGTTGGCACCGGATTGGAGCTACCACCAGAACCATCACGGGCAATATTGGCAAAGTAGTTTAGGCAGGGGAGTCCTCAAGTGTATGATTCAGTGATGATTCAGATTGAACATCATGATTATTAAGTATTTTGTTGTACATCTTAACATGAAGGATGTGAACAAAAGTGTTGAGTTTCTTTAGGGTGACTATCAAGTGTTCATAATGAGTCATGTAATAGTTGATCATGTTCTGGTAATGTTGAATGGCTTGAAGAATAGTTTCAAGCATAACGGAGAACATTACAGCAGGAAAAATAGTTGGAGTAGTGGTTAGAAGGTTTTGAGAAGAAATTATCGCACTTTGAAGAGAAAACTATGGTTTGAGAGGGGGTGATAATATTCTCTCTCCAGTGCTTTTTCATCTTTATTTTCTCTCCTCTTATTTTTTTCCTCTCAACTTTTCTTCTCCCACCTAGACAGAGCATTAAGCATCCTCGGCTGAATGGTGATATAGGGAGGATAATGATGAGGTCCCAAAATGTCCCAATAACAACTGAGCAACGAACTGTTGTCATTTCCTACACTACAACTCATCATTACATGCCTTTTAGTTGCTATTTGACTTCTGGGTGAGTAAATCTATTTTTTAAGACTTTATAATAGTTCCTCCTATACACACTACCAAAAAATGATTTTCAAAGGCAGTGACAATAAAAGTCGCTACTAAAAGTATGACTTTCTCTTGTGACAATTGCAATCATCACTGAAAGTCAAACTTTCAGCTGCCATAATTAAAATTGCCGCTAAAAGAAAGTGACTTTCAGCGGCAACTTTAATTGTTGTCACAAAAAGTCATACTTTTATTGAAAGTCTGAGTTTCAGTGGCGATTTTAATTGTTGCTGCTGAAAGTGTGGCTTTTTATAGCAATTTTTTTCTCACTAACAAATATAATTTTGTCGTTTAAATATAATATTTACTTCTCAAAACATTAAATGTATCATTTTATCATGAAAGAAACAAAATAAGGTAATGATATTTCATTTTCACAGGATTTATGCTTAAATCAATACTTTAATTAAAATGTCTTATACATTTACAATTATATACTATATACATATAAAAATGTTTTATTGTTTTAGTGTCTACATAAAACCAATTGTTCTACCAATTTAATAGGTAAAGTTTAATATGTTATATGTATGTATGCATGTTTGCGTTTTGCTGCTCCAATTTCTTCATTCTTGCACATAGGAAGAAGGAAAGACATCATATGAAAAAGGAAAAATTAATTATTTAATCCTTATACTTTTTAAGAATTCGCGACTCACTTCTTATAGTTTAAGTCATCACGATTCGCTCCTTACTCCGTCTTCCCCGTTCATCCCTAACTAGAATACTGAACAGTGAGTCAGTGACCAGGCGTACCACAGCAAAAATGTCACTCCTCAATTATCCCTCCTCTTCGCTTTTAGCAGCAACACATTTCTATTCATCAATACATCCAAGTCTCATATTCATTTAACTTGGAAACCCATTCTTATTCTCAAGAAATAAACATCCCACGTAGGATATGGATTTGGTTGATGCTTGCTCTTTTTTTTTTTTTGAGAGAAACAGAGTATTCAATCTTTTGCTATCACGTCGTTATCCCTCCCACGTGAGATATGAATTGGGGTGATTCTTGCACTGTTTTTCGTATAAACAAAGGCTCCAATGGCAGCGACCTGCAATATAATGCCTTGTGCGAGTGTTGAACGTCCTCTATCCCTCCCACCCACATCTCTGTGCTGCATCAAATTTGAAGAACAAAGGCCTTGCCTTTATGGGTACATGAGGGGCCTTAACCATCCTATCATTTACTAGCCAAAAGTATTTGAAATTATCTTTGGATTCTCAGAATCTTGTCTACCATATATTGCTTTGATTAATGATTTCTCCCTTACTTTTACACGTTTAAGATTTCTTTATGTCATTGTTATTTAACAATATCGTCTTTGTTCTTTGAGTTTGGTACAGCACAAAGACGTGGGGGATAAGGGCGTGATGGCAAAAGATTGAATACTCTGTTTCTCTGGGAAAGGGGGAAAAAAAACAAAGCAAGCATCACCCAAATTCATATCCCACATGGGATGTTTATTTCCTGAGAATAAGAATGGGTTTCGAATTTAAATGAATGTGAGACTTGGATGTATGGATGAATGGAAATGCGTTGGTGCTGAAAGCGAAGAAGAGGAGTGGGATAAGTGAGGAGTGACATTTTTGCTGTGGTGCGCCTGGCCAATGACTCACTGTTTAGTATTTTGGGTAGGGATGAATGGAGAAGATGGAGTAAACTATGAGGACTGAGTTCTGATAAGTTAAACTATAAAAACAAAGTCACGAAGTCAACGAAAGTATAAGGATTAAATAATTAATTTTTTCTATAAAAAATATTCTTTTACACCTCAATCCAAATATTTTTATTGATAAGATTAGAGATATAATTGGGAAAGGGTCTCCCCTCTTTCCTTTCCATTATCTTCTTTCCTATTCTTTTTCTAACTCTTGGAACAATGTTTTAAAGGTTCATATTTTAATTAAAATTATTATTAAAAGTTAAATAACAAGACTAAATAAATAATAAAATACAAATAACAAAATTAATTTCAACAATGTACAAGTGACAGAAAAAAATGACTTTGAGCAGTGATTTCAATTGTCATTGCAGAAATTAAAGTCATACTTTCAACGGTAACTTTTTAAAGTCACTCCTAAAAGTTTGAAGTTTGAGTTTCATTAGCGATTTTTATTGTCACTGTTGAAAGTCACACTTTTAGCTCTCACTAACAAGTGTAATTTTTTTTGGTTGAAATCTAATGTTTAACATCTCAAAAAATTAAATATATTATTTTATCATATAAAAATAAAATAAGGTAATGATATTCTATTTTCATAAGATTTATGATTAAATCAATACTATAATTAAAATGTATTATACATTTATAATTATATATGTATGTATGGGGGTGTTGATTTTTATATATGTGTTTGTGTGTTTTACTACTCCAATTTCTTTATTCTTACACATCAAGATTGGAAGAAGGGAAGAATATTAGGTCATATAAAATTCACTACAAAAAAATATGTATTTTTTAGCGGTTAAATTATGACATTTCTAGTGGTTTTAACCACAATGAACAACATTTGTAGCGGTTAAACAAACTGCTAGAAAATCAAGTGTAAGAAATAGTTTTCTAGTGGTTAAAGGAACCGCTACACAGTATGGTTAAAACACCAAAAACTTTCTAGTGGTTATGCTAACTGCTAGAAAAAAAAAAGCAGGCACAAATAAATAAGACGACATTTGCAATGGTTAAAAACCACTAGAAAATTTTAAAAATATTTGTAGCGGTTACAGAAACAGCTAGAAAGTTTTAGACGAAATCATATTTTGTCAAGAAACAAAATTTTCATATTGGCGCCAAAACTTTCTAGCAGTTTATAACCACTAGAAAGTTTTAGACGAAATTACATTTTGCCGGGAAATGAAATTTTCAAATTGGCACCAAAACTTTTTAGCGGTTTTTAACCGCTAGAAATTTGGCGCTAGGTGAAACCAAATATAAATCTTGCAAAAAAATTTCCTCTTTTTTTAACTTTTCTGGTGGTTTTAGAACTACTACAAAGTTCATTCCAAGCAAAGAAAATAAAATTCAAATGTTTCATTATTAAGAAATATAATATTATAAATTAAAAAATCATTAAATAGATTATATTGGAGAATTTTTGTTAATATTTATATTTACCAATGTATTACATGTTATATATTTGAATTTTGAGATCAATAATAAGTAATTAAATTATGATTGTGTCAAATGAATTGAATTGAATTTAATAAGATAGTTGAATTGGAGATAGGATAGTTTATAATATTGAACCTTAACTCTTATATTGAAAAGTGGTTAAATTAGTTGAAGAGGACATGACAAATGTGAAAAAGAAAAATTTAAAAGAAAAAAATAAATAAAAATAAATAAAAGAAATTAAGATTTATAAAATGAATACCATTTTACCATATAAAGAAGAGGAAAAAACTACCATATCAGAGAGTAAGAAGAAAAGAGAGAATTATAAAGAAGAAGAGAAGAGGAAGGAAAGGAGATGGGGTAAATGAATGAGGAGGTGATATGGTATTTATAGAGATCAGCGAGACGTTTCTAGCAGTTGTTTACTATTTGCAACAGTTTTATGCATTTTGTAATGGTTTTGCAGTTTCTAGCGGTTCTGTAACGGCTACAAATTGCAATTTTTTTCTTTTTAAAAACTGAACCAATTTGATTTTGTACATATTTATTTATGAAAAACAAATTGCAGTTTCTAGTGGTTCTGTAATAGCTATAAATTGTAATTTTTTAATTTTAAAAAACTAAACCAATTTTAATTTGTACATATTTATTTATGAAAAACAAATTGTAGTTTCTAGCGGTTCTGTAACCGC